TCCATAGTAATTATAATCATATCTCAATCAATCCCAATGACGTGAAAAGATAATGAATACTGGCTCCATTTTATAAATAGGAAAGTTGAGGAATGAATAGATAAATAAGTTGTCTAAATTTAGTATTAGCACAAAGACTTAATCCATGTGTTCTAAATTCCAGATCACTTTATTTCACACTAAATCAGATAATTAGTCTTATTTATGCATATTTCAATATATAAATAAAATTACTTATCTGCTAATTTATTTCTTTCATCATTTATTTTCGATTTTATCTGTCACTCATTTTTTTTACTCATTTTCTCTGTTTTATTTGCACTCTACTACATGAATAGGTATCATGTTGAGAAATGAAAAAAACTGAAACATTAATGAGGATCCAACTGAAATAATGGGGTTTTCTAATGTTCAACTACTCACAAGGAAAATTTTACTTACATATCAATTTACTATAAAGGAAACTTGAGGTTTTGAACTGAGAACTTAAGCTTTTGAGTTTTCTTATGTGTTTAGTTTTGGAAAAGCTTATTTAAGTATTATTTTCAGGATATATATCTATATAACTTTAATGGTGAGCGAACTAGAAAAACTCAAACATTCCATTATGACTGATGCTCTTCTCCAGTTAAACATCAGGGAAAGTAAGAGACATCCAAAGTGAGCAGAGCATGGTAGGAGAATAGTTACTATGAAGGGACACTAGGGATTTGTTTGACATAGCTGACATCTCTGATCTTCATAGCGTGTCTGGTACTTACAGTAGGACTCATGTATTTCCTTGGACCCAAGACATCTATGAGAAGATCAATATCAGTCACATTCACTTCAGAGACAAAAACAAGGTCACAGTACAATCTACAAAGCACCAGAGCTAAAATGAGTGGATGCTACTTCTTTACCAATTATAGTCTTCCTTTTTTTTTAGACAATTTATCAATATAGCCCATCATAGACTTGTAGACTTGTAGACTTGTTCTTCCTTCATAACCACAGCCAACCCAGAACAATGATCCTGACTCTCCCTGAAAGCACCTAACTGTGTAAACCAAAGTCTTTTCTTAAGGCTCTTAACTTTTCTTTTCTTAACCCTCTGTGAGATGCCTCACAGTTCTCCTTGTTAGTGTTTTCTCATGGCTGAAGATAACATAAACTTAGCTTATGATCCTGGTGGACATTGGCTCAAGAGGACTGATATAATACAAGTAATAATAATTTAAGTGTTTTCAGTTTATGAAGCACTTCACATAGTTCTCCTAATAGTCCTATGAAGTAGATATTGCTAACATCTACATTTTAAAGATGAAGAAACTATGGATCAGAGGAGTGTCACAATTATATTATGAGTTAAAAATCTAAATTTAAATGTGTCCTTTGGTGAAAATCCAAGATCCTTCTATAATACCACATTAATATATTACTAAATAGATGTAGAAGATATCCTTTAAAAATTGGGATGAGTACTAGAAATTCAGATATTTGAATGTTAAAAAATCTATTCACTAGTAATTTATTAGATATTACCAGGTACAAAGTTCAATGGAAAAATAAGTAGGAAATAGGAGAGGGATTCCTTTTACTCAAATATACCAATTCAAACCATTCTAAACTCAATATTTAATTAGTAACTACAATGAAGATTCAGAGAAAATTAAAAAAATAGATTTTACTGAATTTTAAGTTTGGTGAGATAAGAGAAACAGACCCCAAAGACTATTAAACACACACACACACACACACACACACACACACACACTTCAGTAATATTCATGTTACTTAGTAGTATAGATGATAAAAGTAGGAAATGGAGATCACATTGTATTTATGAGAAAGTGAATGAATAATAGTGAATTCCTGTTGTTACTCCATACTCTGTGCTGCTGATTTCCTTCCCCATCAACATGAACCCCTGTTCTCAGACATGGTATATACATTGAAACTATTAGTTTATTAATAATTAATTTTTAATTGCTAATTATCAAATTAGGAATGTAATTACAATTTGCTAATTACAAAAAATTAGGAAATGCCATGTCTTTCTTTCCTTTCTTTTGTCTCTCTTTATATCGATCCCAAGCAGATGGTTTTCACTCTAACAGAAGTGGGAGAAGGTTGGATATTGACTAAGAAAAGTATCTGATAGGACATTATCTATTCATACATAAATAGAAAATTATGCACAAATAAAAAAAATTCACTATTGAATGTGAACAATACACTCATCTCTATATGGTGTTTACTTCATTGTAGGGGTTATGCCTGTTTCTTAAAGCAAGATTCTGGAATGCCGTTGTAGCACAATCCCACAGTAAACTGGCACTGCCCTTACTACAATTCACATTGCCAAATCTTAAAAGATTTAGTGATGAGGACTGATGCAATTTGTGGTTTTTGCCATCTTCTTCTTGTCTGCACTTCATACTAGGTCCAATCAAAAAACAGCTAGTGTGGGACTTAACCTACTTCTTTACTACTGAAACACCTCCTGTCATAGCTTAATCCCATAAGAGGACATCTAAGAAATAGGTAGCATGGCTAGAAGAAATGTTAACCAAACCACTGAATCTTCAAATAATCACTTTTCACCCAGGCTGAAGTATTTACATATAATTTCAAAACTGCATTCAGTTTTTCATATTCTTATGACTGAATCTACATAAGAGATTGTAAATTTTTGAGATAAGGAATTATATTCTCAGTAGTCTTATACCTAGTTGATGATTAATTATGGTTTTATAATCCCTGAAGGTATAATCAGGGAGTTTAGCTATAAGACAATTAGTTCTAAGGGGAATTGCTCATGTTTGCACAAAATACATCTTACATATTTATAAGTAATAATGCAAAAATATTTTGGCAGAATATGAAAGTATTTTTTAAAATCTCAATTATTAGAGTTTCCTTTCATATCAGAAATAAATTAAGAATATAACATGATAAAAGTTTTACATCTTTTATTATATAACTAAATTTAAGAATCAATATAACAGGAGAAAGAAACAACTCATGATGAACTTAAGTACACAGAGATAGACCTATAATGCTCACTTATGAAAGAATACTGGATGGGCCAGATTTACAAATAACATAAAAGCATCATGTCCTGAAATGAACTACATGAAATTAAGTAATTTGGTTTTAGCTGTCTTAGAGTGATCCCAAGGATAGTATGACACCATTAAACACCAACCAGCTCAAAAACACAAATGGTTACTACTTGAATGATAGAGCCACAACTATATCAATGTAGGAAAATGAGTCTTCACATCTGAATTCTCTCAATATAGCCTCGTTATACCCTAATGTCCAAGTGTTTTATTCCTGAAAGTGTTCTTCATGGAAAGTAGATTATGAGAAAATCGGATTATAATATTTTAACTGATTAATGATGCTATATCTTTGTATACTCGTGGACCAACTGAGATAAAAAATAGTAATAAATTTCAAAGTATTAACAAGTTCTTTAGTTATCTATTACTTTTTATTTACCAAAATTTATTTTTCATACACCATAAACAAATAAGAGTGAACTATATTTGATTCTCCATTAATGTCACTGAACAGCACTATACATTTTACAAATTCAAAACTTTGAATAAACGTTCCCAAACCCTTAGAGAAAAGATAGGATATGAATGTGTATGCGTGTGTGTGCCCATCTACGCATTTATATATAGAAAGAATAAAACCGATCCAATGAACTGATATTCTGTGAGTAATTTACAAACAAGTAATCATAACTTTCATTTCCCAATACCATAATTACAAGGCTATTGGCTTATATGGATTATATTCATAACTCATATTTATAATGTCCTGTTCAATAAAATTCCTTTATCCCTAACTGTATGCCGTTAAGTATAAGAATTTAGTAGTTCTTCTCTGAAGTAATGGAGATAATTTAGCTTGTTATTTGAGTGTTTATATAGTTTTTCAAATCTTCAAATATTTTAGATAGTTAAAATTTCAGAAATTTGAAGCACTGTCTCATACCATAAGATATTGATTTGGGGGAGTTTAGAGTGTAAATGGGACTGAATGTGAGATGGATAATGGGACTGATGTGAGATGGACCCAACATAACTGGGATTCTGGGTATGTTGTTTGCATATGCAGAAGATGTGACCAAACAGAAAATCTCCCAAAGAGTTAATGAATGAATTTTTATAGTCATTTGTCATTCTTGATAGCTTTTGCCAAACATCATTCATATCTATCTTTTTCTGGGAGAATCTGTCATTTTTGTGTATGCATTCCTCCCCGCCCCCAAATTGTGAGCCTCTTGAAGATAGAGATCAGTTCTATTCATTTTGGACATATTTATGTTTGAATGGGTGAATAATCTAAATAATAGTGTTATGAAAACTTCTCTGTGTCATAATTGGTGAAATTAATAAAGATAGAATAGATTTGAAACAGAAAAATTTAACACAACATAAATATGTTCCAAGAACAGAATATACAGTCTTCCATAACCACATAAATATTATATATCATTTATGATCAATCATTTTATGCAGCCAGCAGTAGATCTGAAAAGTCCAACATCCTACCAAGTATCTGTCATTTTCACACACAGTCAGTGGCAATTCCCTTCCTTAATTGAATGAGCATGAAGGAATGACAGAGGGAGAGCCACCACTAAATAAAATCTTTCTAGTTATCATATGAGAGTAACAATCAATTTCAAGATCTTAGGAATTCTTGAAATTTTCTTAGAAGGGGAAATCAAGTGTAGATAAAACTCATTGGAAAACATTAATATACACATTTATAGAAATCCAATAAAGGTGAATCTTGATTCATACTCACTCAAGAAAATATATATTGTTATAAATGGTAGAGTCTGGGAAGGTAACCAATTTGGGGCAAGAAACAATAACCAGGGAGCACATTTTCCAATGTGACTAAAAGAGTTCTATTCTTTTATATCCTATGTACACTAGGAACTGTATATAAAGCATATAAATGCAAAGTTCACCAAATGCAAATATGCTCACCTGGACAGAGGGCGATATTACAAGGCTTATGATGTGTTTCTGGTCCTTCACAGGGCCTCCCTCCATACTGGGGAGGTGTGCATGATCTTGTTCTTGTTCTTTGGCCTCGACCACATGTAAATGAGCATAAACTCCATGGTGACCATTCCTCCCAAACTCCATGTACTGTAATAAAGCAAAGAAGCTTCAATAACCAAACTAGATGGTAAAGCCCAAGATTATTTTCTGTATAATTAAGAAAAAACTCATTGAATAAAGTATGAGGATACTTTTAAAATTTAGTTGCAATAGCAGTCTTATTTTCCATAAAATTGAAAATTTAATTTAAAATCCATTAAAATAATATTAAACTGTATGCTCGCTTCTTTCTACATTTGTAGTTATGGCTCATGTCAAAAAGCTTAAAAATTCCTTGTGCCTCTCTCCCTCTTTATAAAACACAAGTTATTTTTAAGTCAAAATAAGATTAACTAAGGTAGAATATAGAAAAATAAATTTCTAATAACAGAAATGAACCTCTGGAGTTAAATTTGCATTTAAATTACCAAGGACCAAACTAATTCTTCTAATACTTGTAAAGTGTGAGAATTAAAAACTTTTATTGAATCAGAAAATGAAAACAATCTGAAAATTGATGGTATATATTTCAAAAGGTTTTAAATTTCATTTTAGAAAATCAATATATTTTATTAAAATTTTTTGGTTCAAAGTAACCACCTTTGCCTAAGAGGGTCATTTTAAACACTCGCGTAAGATCCTCTTCTTTCCCCCATTTCAAAATGAGTGGTAAACATGAGGATCTCTTTCTAATGGCCATGAAAATCAGAAGACGCTCTTCTTTCTCTGACAGCTTGGGAGAACTGAAAGTACTCCTAATTTGTATAAATTTCATTAACAATCCAAGTTATATAACAAAGATTATGAAAACATAACTATGAATATACCAAGACTTCACATATTTCATTATAATGAGATTAAACTTGACCAGACATAACAACATGATCTTTGATCCTTCATAATAACAATTCTGAATAAATACTGGTATCTTTTACAAAAGACTACCAGACTTCAAAATTTAGATCCCTTTTCTGAATGTTCAAATTACTGCTGTCATCCCAAAATTTATATTTGGGGTAGTAAGCCATAACACCTTGTGGACAACACAAATAAAATGAAGTCAAGAAAAAAAGTAGTCTTCTGTTGAGAAGCTCCTGTCTTGATGTGAGCTTCTGGCCTTAGAAGACTCTAAGTTCAAGGTTTCAGAAGAGTGAAATGCCACTCACTGGGAGGAGTGGAGAGGGTAAAATTTATAGTAGAAAATGACAAAAAAAAAAAATTGCTCATTTTCTCTTCAGTATCGGCAGGGGTAAGCACAAATTCATATAAAGTGGCAGAGGAATTATGTGAGCAAATACAATATATTTAGAATTTTATTCATGTATATGCTGACCATAAAAACATTACCTTAAAAACATCATAATATACTTAAATTTAGCTAACTGGAAAATGTACTACCACATAGGATTATTATTTTTGTGGTGAGACTACTTAACATCATATTAAGAATACAATATGTTGTCATTGAGTACAGCTAGATTTAAAAATTCTACAATGTGCATATATGTCAAAGCATTAGGTAATACATAGGTATATACAATTTAAAACATAAATAAATAAATTTAAAAAGAAACCCACAAATATAATACCTTAATAATGAGGTATACTATTCTTTTCTATTTATGTTATTGAGTTACCTCAACTGGTGGTGAAAATATGTTCAAATATAGGGAAAATTAGCCAAATTTGAGTAATATTCAAACTCTTAAAGATTCTATGCTACATGCTAGGATAATATTTTAAAGTAGCATAGAAAAGAACAAGAAAGTGAAATAAAGATTTTTTTAAAATTTTTCCTAAGAAAAGTTGGAAAAACCAAAGCCAATTTGTATCCATTAGTATTAGGATAGATAATAAGATGATATTTAATTTTAAATATACACATATAGTTTTAAAATATGTGCATATTAATATATATGAGTGTATGTGTATATGTATATATAATCAATTATAAAATTATATTTAAAAGTAATTTACATGAATGTATTTTTAAGTAAAATTTATATTTTTATCAACTTTTGTACTTCTTTCCAATTACCAAGATTTCTCCATTTAAAAGCAACCTGTCTTCTCCTTTTTCTATATAAAATATTAACACTATCTGATTCATATTTCTGGTTCTCTTCATTTTCTATTCTATAAAATTATATTGCTTTAATATGCACTGCACAATCCCAGAAAAATGCTGAATTGGCAAATTTTCTCCATGAATTTCAGAAAATACTGATTAATCTTGATGGGTTTACTTAAATCATGGAACAGGATTCATCAAAAATTAATGTTACTTAGTACTTTTTAACAGTCTTTATTGTTACATGGTGACATTTCATGACTTATTCACATCATTTCATAAAAGCTTAAAATGTTTTTCATTTGACAAAGGTAGTAAATTATTAACAATTTGTTATTTTAGGTAGTATTGAATTAGTGGGAAATTATATCACATTCTTTATAATATTTAAAGACATTTCATAAGACATTTATTAAAAATTATATGTTTTCATTTTAAAGGAGAGTTGTTACATAAATTTTTCTACTTTTTGGCAAATATGAAAATCTATAAATTATATAGTCAATTTGAAAAATAATCATAAAAAAACATTTAACTTCAATAGCTTCATCCATTTTATAGTTTTCTTCTTTATCTTTGGTACCAGCTATATTATCATATCTCTTCTTTGTGTTGACCAGAGATATAATTTAAAAAATATGAAACACACAAGATATATTATCACCAGATTTTAAATTATCTACAAAATTAAACAATAATAAATAATTAATAAAAATATCTATGATTTAGATTTTATTGTACATAAAATAACTCCTTTCGGTGAAAAGTTTTTTCCTTAATAAATAAATGGATATGACAACTATGACATTTACAAAAATAAAATCCAAACTTATTTTTCAGCCTACATGGACATCTATTGAATTAGGATACATATGGCATAGATCAGTAATTCTCAACCAGAGGCAAATCTGCCCCCAGGAGACACTGGGTAATGTCTGGAAACATTTTGGCCATCAAAACTCAGAAAAAGATCAAGTGCTAGAGGTACCTAGTGAGAGGCCAGGGATGTTGCTAGACATTGAATTTGCAGAAGACAGGCCTCCCTGCAACCAAGATTTATCATCAGAATGCCAACAGCCAATTGGCAGAGGTTGAAAAACTACACTTTAGACCATAAATCTAATTGAATCAGGTTGGTAAATATAGAATTAAATGTTGGTCGTTTTCTCAATTTGCTTTCTATTTATTCCATATTTTCTACTCTAAATAATAAGAGCTGTTAAAGAGAACATAATGTCAAAGCAAAAATTTTACAAGAGGTCAGATATCTCAGATTCATATTAGAAATAACAGTTTTAATAATTAGTTTTTAAAAATTCTTTGCAATTTTAATAGTTTGAGTAAAAGTTTATTTATAACACTAGTGATCTATCTTTTATAGTACAAATAAATATAATCTCTAATTCTATCATTCCATATGTTTTATGGAAAGTGACTTTAATATTCAATTTTCTGTTTCTTGTGTCATATTAATTAGTTAAATGTTAAATATATTTTGAGTTTCCACAGTATTTCAAGTTGGTTATTTGTTTCTGAACTAATTTTCTTGGGAATTTATTGTTTTAGAAAGATGTTTACGTTGTTTAAAATACTGTTTAAATTTTAAACTATTTTAAAATTCACTGTTTTCAGCTTGGCAGACAATTAACCATAATAGTGAGCATAAAATATTTCAAAGCACATACAATAACCATGTAAAATAAATTGCAATTTCATAAACTAGAATACTGATCCTACATTTTTAAACTTAAGAAGTTGCTAAATTATTCTTTATATTTGGAAAATTAAATATAAATTAACAAAGTTCATTATCTTTAATTAAACAAATTGAATTATAACAATGATTACAAGATAGACATTTCTTATCAGTATTATTCAACCAAAATTAGAAAGACAAACATCCCTCCTTATGGTAAAAAGGAATTTAGTAATTGCTTATATCTTTTTCTATAGATGTAAGGATAAAAGGCTAAGAAATCAAGAAAAACTTTGTAAGCAGAGAACACTGCTCAGTTTTCTGGTCATCAGACAGAGGGAGAGAGCTTGGCAGTTGCACGTGGGAGAAGTACTCTCCTCCTGCTACAGATGCTATTGGTGCCCAGTGGATGCTTAATCAGCAGCCTGTGGCAGAAGGATGGAGATTTCCAAATGTCAGCTTATGAATGTGCATAGCTGGTGAGTGGACATGTAGCTCTGCATGAAAATTCTTTGGGACCTAGTCAAATGCCCTTTGCCATTAGACTCTATCCTTATTATGTTGAAAGCCTCTTGACTATTAAATAGACACTGATGAAGAGATAATTTATGTATCTAGCACAGCTTAAATCTCAAGGAACACTTCTGTCATTAACAAAAAAAGAAAACTTGATCAGGGGACCCATAGAGTGAATACTCTACGTAGGCACCAGGTTAAGTAAGTGTTCTTCCAGAGGGTCACTGTACTCATACTCAAATGAAGATCCACAAGCATTTACTCTTGTGGTCTAAAGATTTCACTTTTAGAATCCTCAGATCCCACTTCTCTGATTGTTTTCCTTCTCCTGACTTGTGTCTCTCTCTAGACTCTGCTCTGTGATCCCTATTTTCAAGCATCTTTTCTCATGGTCTTCTCCCTTCCATGACCTCCTTAAGCATTTATTTTTAACTGAATCTTTTTAGTTTTTACTTTATGTTCTTTCTCATCTAGTCTGTTTCCATTAGCCCTTGTTTATTGTTCTTGCTTTCAGAAGCAATTACTGTTTTTTTGCATTCTTCTTTTTTTTTTCATAGCCATCAATGTTTTGCCCTGTTTAACTTTAGTTCTTTCTTCATCTACTGCTTTCCTACCTTTCAGTTCTAAGATCTCCTACATCATTATCTCATTCATTCCTCCTACACCTTCTGCCCACCACTTTCTTTACCTGTATATCCCCCATGTTTTTCATTATTGTAATAAAAAACACATAACATAAAATTTACCACTGGAACAATTTTGAGTGCACAATTCAGCAGTATTAGGTATATTCATACGGGTGTGAAGCAGATCTTCAGAACTTTTTCATCTTGCAAATAATGAAACTTTATTCCCATTAAACAACAACTCCTTCAGAGTGTCTTTTAATGGATCCCACTTGCCTATTCTGTTAGGAAATTGGGTTTATTCCCACCCTTTTTTTATGCTACCCACTCTCTACTCTTGTTTTAAGTAACTACAGAATCAGCTATTTCTGAAAATGGAATTCAACAGGAAACTTTTAAGCATTACTTAGCAGATGCAAGGCTACTACAGCACCAGTACATCTATATCCACTCCCTTTTGGAGGCCTCTGGAGAGACTGTGAAGTCGACAGGAATTTTGCTGTCACTTATCCACCAAAAGTTTAGAACAAAATATAAATATATGGATTCCTAACATTCTGTGCTTTAGACTTTTTAAAAGAAAATCCAGATTCCTATTAATACTTTTTTGTTTTACATTTATGTCAGTGGTTCAAGAGGGAAAAACATCTATTAAATGCATGTGTGCACAGATATAAGAACCAAACTTTGATACAACATAAAAAAATCTGATCCTTGGTGGGTATGCTATTATGCAGTGTTCCAGTAAACATTAAAGATATGTCTCTTTTTCTTTAATAACTTTATTTTTTCAAAAGAGTAAATGATTCCTACAAGAGTAATTACTTCAGGGAATTTAATAAAATAAAATAACTGGTCTTTCATCAGGAACACTAATTTATCTTATAGGGTTCAATAAATGATAGGAAAACGGCTGGCTATTTGGCCTGAAAGACTGTGTCAATCCCTGACTTAAACAATGTCTATCCTATTTCTAGCATGCTGTAAAATTATATTTTATTCAAGCATTCAATTGGGCATTTTTGACATATAAAATATAGGAAAGATATGTAAGCCTTATCCTACAAGAAGCAGATACAGAAATGTGAAGCTGGTATTTGCCACAGGAAGTCAGTCACTTATGTAGGTTCTTCACTGTTCTGAAATAATCACATAGATAGTAAAATATCACAGTTGAGTAAGAATTACACTTATCCACTCTAATTAAAATGTCTATACCCAGTTCAGATGAAAATAACAAATTGTTCCAAATGCGTAGCATGACATAATTCAATAACATCCACAGTTGTAGTTGCTGCTAACACTACCTGGACAGAGGGCAGTGTTATTGCAAACCCTTGATTCTCTTAATGGGCCGCTGCAGTGTGTCCCGTAAGGTGATACACAAGTTCTGGTTCGCACCTGCGACCCTTGACCACAAGTAACTGAGCATGTGCTCCACTGGGACCACTCTTCCACACCAGATTCACCTGCGTGCAAGACAATAAATAAACGTGAAATACTGTCTTGAATACTCACAAGCATTATACCAAACTGACATTATGACATGCATGAATAATTTCAAATGTAAAAATATGATAGTACATCAAAAGGTACAAGAAAACATTTCAGAGAAAAACAAATTTAAAGAGGGACAAATATAATGCTGATACAAAGACCAAACTGGTTCCAGTCTTGTTAGTAAAGCTACTCTTCACAAATTTCACTGTCCTATTGACAAGGAACAAGTCAGCATTTTTCAATAATAATTATAGTTGAAGCAATTCTCCTTCAAGCCTTTGACGGGAAAGAAACTAAATGTATGTCAAAGCTCACTATGTGGTTTTGGTGAACAGGAATATATGGGTGTGTTCCTAGTCCTTTATTGATAACATTCTTTCTAATGCAAGATAAATGGAGCCCTGAGAATTTGAATCAATTTAACTGTGTTGAACACCAACAACTTTTTTGTAAGTTACTCCATGTGAAACTTTTATTTTTCCATCCTATGACAGCTATTTGTTCTGTGGTATTAAAAACCTTTTGCTCACAATTTCACCTATAATCTAGAGAAGTGATATTTACTCAAATTGAAAGAGAATTTCTCTATAATTTCTATTACTTTAGTATGGGCCTAAAATTTATTCCAGAATAGGGCTCCAAGATGTTAAATAATGTCTGAATTCATTAACTTTCTTGGAGTTGGCTTCATCCTGAAATTATGTCTAATTTCTATTATTATCTCAATTCATGTCCCAAGGAGATGCAGCGTTGAGCATTTTAAAGACCATTGCAGTGGGCTTCTAAGTCTATTCTGGCATCACCTCCAGGATGAATTTTAAAACTGGTTTGAAAGTTGCCATTGCTTCTCTTCAAATTCAAATTGCATCCTATACCTGCTAGCAGTAACTAAGTTAACCATTTGTTTATCTGTTGAGAACTTTTATAGATGAGGTGTTGTTTGTGAAAACTTTTCATCATTGATTAAATAGATCAAGGGGCATTCTAACTCTATTTTATAGATTCTGTCTGGAATTTGCCTTTGGAATAGAATTAAAAGGATAGTAATGGTAATTCATTTGTTGTTTTTTTTTTCTTTGAAGCGTAAACAAATGATTTAGATATTATTTTCAATGCTATTCAAGGCAGCTGGTTCATAAATTGGTGCTCAGGGAAAAGAGAAGTTTGGATCAGAACACAATTTGACACACTGATTTCTTATTTGAGAAATCTGTTGAGAGGGAGGGAGGGAGGGAGAGAGAGAGAGAGAGAGAGAGAGAGAGAGAGAGAGAGAGAGAGAGAGAGATTGATTCAGCTGAAATAAAACATGTGCTTGTTGAAGTAGCCAATTTTATACTCTGGTGTAATCTGCATATTCCTTGAGGACTCAATTGAACAACATGCTTGCATATAAGCACTGGTCCATATACCACACTTTGAATAGCATGGTAATGAAGTATTTGCTCTTATATTTGTTTGCATTGTGCACTCAAAGGCAGGAATAATGATGCACTGATAACAAGTCATATACCACAAGGGCACAGATAATGGTAACTGGGATGACATATCTATCAAATAGGGCTCCCTTTTGATATTGCAATTGATTATTCTGTAAGTAGTAAAGATCATTTTTGATCACATTAGTTATTTTTACCTTCATGAATTTGTATACACTAATTTCTTAAAAGTGTCCTTGGATTATTATTTCAAATGTATTTAAAGACATGTCTCCTAGTTTGTTCTTTTACATTAAAGAATATTCTAGCAAAATTGAAAGTCATCATTTTAAAATCCTAATAATATGACAATGGTTAAAAATATCCACACCTGTATCTATGTATACACACATGTATATTTCACAATGAAAAATGTAAGCTTAAAGTTAGGGAAAATATAATGAATTTTTAAAATGATCTACCAACCTATTTGTAATGAGATTAAATGATGTATAAATATTATGGCTGCATGTTATTTTAAGCAAGAAATTATGAATGTGAATTCTATAATAAGTGAAATGATAAAGGGTATGGATAAAATTAGTTCTATTTTGCCATAAAGCAGTCCTCTTCCCTGGCTTTGTCTAATGACAGAAAAAATATACTTTAATTAATTAAACAGAGCAATGATTTAAGATCAGGGTCTACTTTTTGTTCAAATATTTAAAAACTTGGATATTTTAAATATTTAACGCTACAATGATGCTCAATAAGCTAAGCAGTCGTTCCTACATCATGAAAGGTTGATAATAAATGCTGAGAACTTCTTCACTCTCCCTCAAACTGATGGTTCATTTTGTTGATCAAAAATCAAATTAATTATTTAATTAATTAATCAATAAAATGCATACTGGTTTTCAAGTTTTGGATCAAAATTTGTCATTGTAACAATGACCTATGTGCCAAAACAATCTTGTTATAACTCAAATGTTATCTTTCAAATGACATTTTCACTGAATAATTATTTATATGTTGCCACTTCCATCTTTATGAAGGTGTGAATACTATTCTAGTTGATTGGGTCATTGTAAGAAATGATTAATATACATAAGAAAGATATTTTTAAAATACTGACATTAGAATAGTAAAGTATAAGACAAAGTCTATTATTTTCAACATGTATGTCTTTCGACATAACACAAACTGATCTGGTGTCCTAACTTGTAACTGAGATGAGATCCAGTAGATGGCTTCAGTATCTAAGGCACTATTAAGGCTCCTTATCTTGGAACAAAACACAAAAGAAAACTGGAAAAGTCTTGCAATTAAAGTCAAATGACCTACGTTTGATGGTTTGATGAAAAGCTATTGGATTCTGTGACTCTGAGAAAGTAACTTTATTTCTTTGAATCTTTTCAATAAAAAGAGTAATACATCTACCTTACAACTTTTTTCTGTGGATTGGGTGAGATGTGTAGGAATACATTTTAAATTATGAACAAAATATTGATATAAAATTTTGCTAGTATGTTAAGATCATGAAATTAAAAACACAATTTTAGTTTTACTTTTTTTAATTTTAGATAACATGTACATATTCCTAAAATGTATGTATTCCCCAAATGGGCTGTTCTTCCTGTTGTAATAAAAAACTATCTTTCTAAACATGTTTATTATAAATTCATTTGATGATTGATGTTAAAAGCATCATAAGTGTAATTAAGATGACATAGGCCATTTTGTTGGCATTTAATTCAGATGTCTATTTTACATATCAATATCTATATTTTATCATTTAATTTCTCTTAACCAGATAGTGTCTTAGGCTATCAGACCATCATCATTTATTTTCTAGTTAACTTACATTAATTATCTGACTGACAAAAAGTTATTTGATATAGTTATGATACTTCATGAAAGTATTACTTTATAAAAAATGTCACTCTTACTCTATAAATTTTTTTTTTTTATTACAGCACTTACTATTCACATTAATACAGGAGAGAGTAAGTTTCTTATTCTGGGAACTAATTTTTAAATTATAAACTATGATGGCTTTTGCTTTCATTTTGCCATGATCAATATAAAATATTATGTTGTCTTTTATGATTATTTACCTCTAGTGCATTATTTCTTATTATCGAATTAGTTAGTAAATTTTTATAATTATCATATGTAATGAGAATATTTTGAGAGACAAATAGAGAAAAATTATAAATGAATCTTAATTTATAAAATTTCATAGTGTGACACCTGTTTTTATTTAGACTACCTTAATATCTAAAGAAATTATTCAGGAACTATTAAAAAATATCTTCTCATTTTAGCTTTATAATTGCTTATGATAAATTTATGAATTTTATACATTATTAAAATAACACACTTTCTAGTTTTATCCCATTATTGTAGCTACTTAATTTTAAAATAGGTATTATACGTGTATTTATATTTGCTTACACTATCTTTGAATTAAAATGGAATAATAAATATAAATTATTTATGAATTTAAGTCCCTGATCAACATTTTGAGAAACTTTATTCTGAAGTTGACTGCCTTTTCTAAGTTATTTTTAACAACATGGGGAAATGATTTTAAAGCTCCTCATGGGTTCATTTAATAAGTGACTTATCTATTTACTAATTCATGTGTCACTAAAATGTATATTAGCTATAAAACAAGGATTAGAAAAGAATGAGTAAATGCAAAACTTAAAATTAGTAATTCCTGTTTAACAAAATCAGTATTTCTTGAGGTGTGAATCTGCCAAAAGGGTTTTAGCTGCAAATTGTGAATTTTCTTGGTATATATAGTAGGCACATCCAAAAACTGAATTTGAACAATGACTCCTGGCCAAATTGCACAGTATTTAATGCAGAAACTTATTTTACTGTACTATTGAACATTTAAACCTATTTTTCTTCATTTTATTCTCCCAGTGACCCACTTTTCAGGAACTTCAGTAAGCTAATATTTATCACCTCTTTTGCACAAAGGACACTCTAATCTTGCAGAAATGCCTCATGAGATGCTGCCTATGAAGCTGATAGTCAGCTCATTTTCTATCCTTGATTTAAACACTCCTGATCTTTGTTCAAGTTTGAGATTTTTGCTCCTTGTTAAGGACAAAAATACATGTAACATTCTGGAAATTTGCCTGAATTTGGTATCATTGTTGAACTTGATCAAGTAAATAGAAAAAATTTTAATCACCCTCACTTAAATAAGAAGGTGTACTAGAAGCTATCCAGATAAGCAAGTTTTTTACATTTTTGGATTGGCTGTAACATATATTTCTAAACAACTAAAAATACATTCCTTATAGAATTTATTCTAAATATCCTGTTCTGATAACTTGGCCTACTTGCAATGGATGTCTTAAAATGTACCACTCACCTATTACCAAGAACACAATTCATAAACAGCATTTGCATTTTAAGTTGTAGATTGGGGCTACTGTTCTGGATAGATATTACAAGAAAATGTGAACTGAAGTAAATATGCATTTTGGGGAGGAATGTCATCAGAATCAGTCTGATCATCATGTTTGAGAATTGGTCATGTACTTGATACCTTTCTAATGTTAAAACAGTCAACATTGAATGTATAAAATTTTATAATGTATAACAAAACTCTTAAATTTCAATATCCTAAAATAAAGGCAACAGCTAAAAATGTTCATAGAACAATTTAAAACACTTTTTCATCCAAGGAGATGCCACATGCAATGTATTAGATGGAATTATAGCCCACTTATTATGAGTCAAATTATGAATTCATCTGTTTGATCAAACTCTATAGCCTAATGTATGATATTCAGAATATTTATATTTATGCATTTTTGAAATTATTTAAAAGAATGCAGTTTTCAGTCTTTTGGTGTATGTGTGTGTGTGTGTGTATATATATATATACTTGAGAGAGTTTTAAAAATAATCTAGTCAATTTATAAATACAAATTTTATAAATCATAAATTAATTTTTGTTGATATTTATTATCTAGAGTTGTATTATAACTTAATAATAGACTGTTAGCTATTTGCTATTTAGCTTATGTAACACAATTCTTTTTAAAATGATTTTTAAATGATATATTAAATTGTTAAAAAGTTTTTAATTTCTATGCATATTCTCCATTGGCTAATATTTATAGATAGTACAACACTTGAAAAAATATTCAACATGTTGAATTTTGTTAAATTTCATCATATAAAGTCCTATTTAAATTCCAAATTCTCAATTAATTATTGAAGAAATAACTGCTGTCTTCTTTTAAAAGTTTAATGGTACATTTTCAGTGATTAATTAACATGAAGAAATAATAATATGTAAATCTTAAATGTCCCATACTCAAAACAAAATAATTCTTACACATTACTTGTGCACTTTTCAATTCACAGCTACTTTATTTATGGACTTTAACTGGTGACAAAAAATAAATGGCTCAAAAAAAAATCAGCTCCAAAAACTGACAAATGTTTAGCAAAAGATTATGAAAACATGCAGTGGTTTCATTAAATTAACAACAATAAATAGAAAAATGTAACTAACGTATTACCAGTTTGTGCCATAAATTTAGCAGCATCAGCTTGTTCCTGAGGGACCCTTTTTTCATGAACAGATCGAGGTCGCTGACTTTTAATTGTATGATCTCCCATCATTCCAAATTCTAAAGACAGAATAAAGGTATATGAAAGCTTGTGTGTAGACATTTCTCACAAATTACATTACTGTCTCATGCAATATGTTCCTACACATACCTAGAAGTTACTGATTAAATTCACAGTTCTAAATGCTCTAGGCTGATCTGCTTGGAATATCTCTAAACTCAAGTCAGAAAACCTAAAAACATGAACAAGGTTTCAAGAAACAATAACAACAGTCAATGAAATGACACATCAGGTTTTAAGTTAACGTAATTAACAGAAATACTGTACTCATTTCTGATAATATTCTGAATCAATACATCAGAAAAAATACAACCACAGTGTTAACTGTTGTTTTTCAGAAAAAGCATCCAAACTGGGTAGCAGCTGCCTCCTTACTGACTAGAAATCACCCCATGTTTTCAGCACTTTTTCTAAAGGAATGCATCATTTTGTAACCTAACTTTCCTATTCTTGATCTGAGTCAAAAGGCTGAGAAGTGCTATGTAACCTAACTTCTCTGTTATTCATTTGATGGACTTTATTTTTATTCAAGGATAAGGTTATCCTTAGTGTCTTAAAAAGCTCAGAGAAAATGGTGGCCCTGGTAATTCTTTCCTGCCCTAACCCAAAAATAATCCCTTACCTTTCTCCTAATCTCATGTATAACAATGTTTTCTCTTTGTTCAGAAAAAGAGAAGGATTCTAGGTTTCTGTTGCTTAAACTTTTTATAGTAAAACTTTTAACAAAGCACCCAAGCTCTGTAACCATCTCAGAGGCAAATGAGGGAGAGAAAAAAATAAATTGAAAAAAAGAATAGTTTCTATGTAATATAATTTTAAAAATTCATATGCTTAAAAAATTCATATGCTTGAAATTCGGAGAGTTTTGTGCTTATTGAACTGTTACTGTAAAGTCATTTTAATAAAAACCAAAACCTAATGCATATGATATTTGTTGGTTTTGGCTCATGAGAGTATAAGAAGGAGAAGGAAATTCCTAAAGGGAAAGATACTGTGGCACATTCTCTTCCACTGAGAAAATTTTTGAGCTCTTAAAAGTAGGTCTTTAATACATGGGAAATATGATTAGTGAGGATATGTTACCAAATCTAATAATGTCAAATTCAGGGAATAAAAAATGTCACCAGCTTCTTGTTTATCTTTTTTCTCACCAATTTTAAACACTTTTCTGCTAAACTATTACAACTTACTTTGCAATGTATTTTGTAGGCAGCAATTCTTTCAACTCTTGTCTTTATGTAAGGAAAAAAAGATGAGTACCCTTGTTTGTCTGTTCTGGCAAATTCCAACATAAACTATGACACCCAATAGCATGACCTGTCAGAAACTCTTTCTAGATATTCTACTTGAGGGCATGTCCCCTGAGAAATCTAAATACATGTTCGTTTTTGTCAGTTTAGATACTATCCAAAGTAGAAAATGGAATCCAAAGTAGAAAATGGAAATTCTCATAAAATGTCAGTTGGTTTGATCTTATAAAATCCATCACAATTTTCCATTACTGCCAACATCCTTTCATTCCATTGATATGTTGGTATGGTATGTGCTACCTAAGCCAGCTTTCATCAGGCTCATACAAACTACCTAATTACATATATCAGTTAATGATTTTTGAAATTAGCTATTTAGAAAGTTATCTAGAGATTCTTATTCACTATTCAATATTTAAAGTTATTATATGCAATTGAAATGTTTCTGGATCTAAAATAGCAAAATAAGTTAGTAGTAATTTTTATTAACATTATAGTTCACCTTCTTTCACCTTCAATTTACAATTTTTGTATTATGTGTATATGTTTATTATTTTCAGCATTTTAGAGTAGATGTTTAGAGTCTAGTGCTCACACTAAGAAAGCTTTGGCACTGAGAAAGCAAATGAGGCCCCCCAAATTATTCTATGTCTATAACTTCTGAACTACACAGTAATTATATAATTTGTTCTAGTAGAAGACAATTCTCGAATTCAGTGGCAGCATGTAAATAACCTGCAATCTCTCTTCTAAGAAAAAATGGTTCATTTGCACAGGGAGTGGGAGTCTGAAATTTAAGGATTTGAGTAATATAGATGAACCTTGCTGGGATAATTTTAAGAGTGTCATGTTAAATTTTTAATGATTTCTGAAATATAAACAGAAAATTAAATATTTATTTCTCAAGATAGAATTGAAGTAACTTACTTCATATTATTAGCTGAAATGTCATTTCCAGACCTCAAATATATTTACAATACAAACTAAATTCAATATTTTCTAATGTAGTAACTACTTATCATCAATAATATTCTACGAGCATTGGTGATGATACCTTATTATAGGTTACAGTATTTAAGATAACAAATTCTCAAATAATTTATGGACTTGATTACATAATTCATATACAACCAAAAGTTTAAAATTGAATACTTAATTATTATTGTCAATACGATTTATCTGAAAAAATAATGTTTTTAAAATGTAGATTGATATGAGGTCCTGTATAACTAAATTCTCTGTAAGATATAAGATACACTAGTAACTTTTATGTTACTAACAATAACTTTTTCTTCAGTGGATAAAACAACACTATGGTGGTATTTTTTTTAATATTCCAAATCTATTATTCCATAGCTAAGAGAATTCAAATTTGTAATTAAATATGCAAACTATTAACCAGCCAAGTGAGTTTCTTTTGCCAATGTTCATATTCCAAGTGTTTGAAAACGAGAAATCTTCCTGTTCTTAAGGTTGTTATCAATTTAACAATAAACATTATGTTTCCATCCATATCTCACAATAGGTTATTTTCAAAACATTTATGTTTTCTTCCATGATGACATTATTGCTCTCACTTCTGATGAAAATAAAGGTCAACTGAACCATTCAAACTTAGGGAAAAAAAAAAAACTCTTGCTTCTGCTATTGTTCTGTCATGTGTTAAATGTGGGTGTGGTAAACCTTTAGTGTTGGATGCTTTCTGAATAAGTTCTTTATGAATGGTTGATTCATATTCGAACGATTCTGCATTGGCAAAAATAATATACTACATTAGTTACACGAGAAAAGTAGCATAAACAAATAAAAAGATGACCTGCTTTGGTGAAAGCAATGAAAAGCAAGTTATGAAATCAAATGAAATAAGGTATAGCATAATATTGTGTATGTGCACATACATAGTCATGGCTTATGATAGTACAGTTATTTCCTATATCTTTATGGTGATGGTACAAATGAAGTAGTAAGTAAATAACAATTCATATATGAAGTCCAAATGACTTGATGATGACTTCCATGCTTTGGAATATCTTCTCAGATAACCTTTCACTGTGCTTCTTGCTAAAAAGCAGTAGTCTTTCAGGGCATGGTGGTATATGCCTTTAATCCCAGCTACTTAGGAGGCTAAGGCAGGAGCATCCCAAGTTTGAGTCCAGGCTTCACAATGCACCAAGACACTGCCTCAAAAAATAAAAAGTGCTGGGAATGTAATGTAGTTCAATAGTAGAGTATCCCTCAATCAATCCTTAGTACTGGGAAGAAAAATTTAAAAAATAGAAAAATAAAAAGCAGTAGTATCTAAAAGACACAATAAAAATTACATCAAAAAAAGGCTTTGAAAGTCATTTGTCTTAAGTCTAGTTTTATGTCTTCTCTTTCCTCATCCAGGATTTATAAAGTATGAGATGATTAAGAAACAAATAGACTTTAATCTTGACTCTTGATAATAAATTGTCAGTTTTGAAGTTTTTGTCTGGAAATAAAGGGTTATAATACTGTGTGATTGAATTCTTCAAAAAGTTTCTTTAAAAAAACCCACATCCATTGGTTATCTTACCACATGTTCATTTTTAAAAATATGAACAAGCAAATCATCAGTTAGTAGATAATACTAGTCATTATAATCCGTTTTATAGTGTATATATACTAGCTCAACATTTTTAGCCAACTTTTCTTTGCTTAACCATAGAAACCATCCAGACCCAGGGTATTATTGCTTCTCAACAAACTCTTAGTGTTTGCTTACACCCTAAAACCAAGCTGCACTACCTTTCATCATGGAAATAGTCAAGCTACTAATTTCCTCACCTTTGTTTCCTTCCACAAGAAAGACCTGCTCTTTAGCCATGCCTCTAAGTGAATCTCTCCAAGTCCAAAGACACCACTACCATGAATTGTTTTCTAATCAAACAAGAGCCTTTGCCTTCTGTAAATTGTGTTTTGCATTGAATCAATAATGGACTTTCATTTTAACTATTAAATTAAGAGTCTTATTTATTCCATTAGATGACCAATTTCTAAGGGAAATAAAGTAAGGATTATTTTTTTAAATCACCTTTGCTTTATGTATAAGTGGGGTTCTATATTTTTTATTAAAAAAATAAATTCTGTGTTAAATATTTGCCTGTTCCAAAATGCACATTTCTATGTGTCTAAAATGGTTCCTTTAACTTGCTTGATGAACAGTTCAGTAAGTAACATTAAAATTCTGAGTTAAGTACTTGAAAATTAGTTATGTATGATTATGATGGTCAACAATTTCTGCTGTCGAGTTTGTTATTCATAAACAAACTCATGTTGTTATTAAAATATGACCATATTTAGAAATTAAATCATGCTGCTCTAAAACAAAACTGTACTCTTAAAAAGCATTTATTATTTCCTATGTGTTAGGTAGTAAAGCTTCAAAGATAAATAAATGTTTTCTGATATTATAAACCTTACAGCCCAAGCAAATCCACTAAGCATAGCCAAATCTTTTTAAATATGTATTTATTTCTTTTAATTAAAATGGTAAGCAACATTTGAAACTCTGTATATCAATTTCTTGAAATTCTTGAATACCCTTATCTAGTAGGACTTGCTAATATGTTTCCAAAGAGAAAACATAACTTTTAAGTCATGCAACTGGACAACTGAAATGAGATCTTGTTTGTTAAAATCTCACAGGAGAAAATAGTAAACATGTGACTTATTAGAAGAAGAAAAATTCCATCATCTGGTTGGTTTAAGGTGATGTAGACAAATAA